GCCTGTAATCCCAGCACTTTGGGAGGCCGAGGCAGGTGAATCATGAGGTTAGGAGTTGGAGACCAGCCTGGCCAGTATGGTGAAACCCCGTCTCTACTAAAAATACAAAAATAGCCGGGCATGGTGGCAGGCGCCTGTAATCCCAGCTACTCGAGAGGCTGAAGCAGGAGAACTGTTTGAACCTGGGAGGTGGAGGCTGGAGTGAGCCAAAGATTGTGCCACTGCGCTGCAGCCTGGGCGACAGAGCGAGACTCCAACTAAAAAAAAAAAAATTTTTTTAAGATATTAACTGGCTCTCAAACTAAAAAAAATAATAAAAAAATAAAAATAGGTGTGAGGGGATCTGCCGGACCCTTGCAAATTCAATTTCTTTCCCATTCCAGGCCCTTCCCTATCGTCGCCCCATTCACCTTGGATCACGTTCAAGAAATTTGATGAAAAAGAAAACGTGTCGAACTGCATCCAGTTGAAAACCTCAGTTATTAAGGGTATTAAGAATCAGTTGATAGAGCAATTTCCAGGTATTGAACCATGGCTTAATCAGATCATGCCTAAGAAAGATCCTGTCAAAATAGTCCGATGCCATGAACATATAGAAATCCTTACCGTAAATGGAGAATTACTATATTTTAGACAAAGAGAAGGGCCTTTTTATCCAACCCTAAGGTTACTTCACAAATATCCTTTTATGTTGCCGCACCAGCAGGTTGATAAAGGAGCCATCAAATTTGTACTCAGTGGAGCAAATATCATGTGTCCAGGCTTAACTTCTCCTGGAGCTAAGCTTTATCCTGCTGCAGTAGATACCATTGTTGCTATCATGGCAGAAGGAAAACAACATGCTCTATGTGTTGGAGTCATGAAGATGTCTGCAGAAGATATTGAGAAAGTCAACAAAGGAATTGGCATTGAAAATATTCATTATTTAAATGATGGGCTGTGGCATATGAAGACATATAAATGAGCCTCAGAAGGAATCCACTTGGGCTAAATATGGATATTGTGCTGTACCTGTGTTTGTGTCTGTGTGTGACAGCATGAAGATAATACTTGTGATTATGCTGAATAAATTCACCAGATGCTAAAAAATAAATAATAAATAAAAATAAAAGATATTAACTGGCTCTCAAGTTAATATAAAATGGATCATTTTATCAGCCTCTCCAGATACAACCAAAGGTTCAAGAATAAGGAAAATGCCAAGATGACGGGAGGGAGGAAGGAAAAAAAGAAAAAGGAAAAGGCCTTCAGAGGGAAAACTAAAAACCTGAAGCGTGCAACAAGGAAAAAGATTTAAAGTGGTCCAAAAGACTTTTTTTTTTTTTTT